TTTTTTCTTGGACTTAGGATTAGAAACCTTGGCCTATCTTGGAGACCTTGTGATCTTATCTGATTATTTTGTCTGGAGTTCTTGAGGTTTACCTCAAGACATTGGGTTGCTTGTTTGTTTTTGTGTGCAGGTTTTTATGATTACACCCTTTGTTTGTAATCTGGAATTCATCCGTATACAGCTGTTACTCAGCCCAATTTTTGTGAAGACTTAATACACTTGAAGTTTGGTTCTCTCAAGAGGTCTAGTATTTTTTTTGCTTGATTGGTTTCAATCCTAGGAATGAGAATTCTATCTTGGCTCATAATGTCAAGTATTGACTTCTTGCTGGTTAGATGGTTCTTATCCCTAGCTTTTACCTTATACTTTAGGATAATCCCTTCTTCTCCTCCCATCTTCTTTAATTTCAAAAATCTTATTCCTCCTTTTGAAAACTCTTCTTTTTTTTAAACTTGAACCACTTTTATAATAAACTTAGACTTATGTCCATGCATTTTCAAAACATTTTCGTAAATAAACACCAATCAACTTAATAATACCTTGACATTTTTTGTGAGAAGACTAAAAGTTAATCAATCTCATTTCAAACTATTTTTGCCACTTTGGCTTTTATCTTTAAACTTTTCTCAAAAGATTGAACTCTTGTCAATCCTTGTAGTGATGCAAACAACTATACTTCTACAATATATAGTGAAGAGAGATATTTTCCACTTGGGTGTTGAGTGATGCATTGTTGATTTTAAGATCCAGGTCATATCCTCCACTTTTAGATGATGCAAATTCTCCTTTATCACAATTGTGGGTAGTAGGTATGTTTTCCACACAGAATATGACGATAATGTTTTATCTCATAAAATTAACCAACACATTTGTGTTTTAAATTTTTAAAAGAGGAACTACGTGTACCCTGATCCCCTATTGCACGAAAATGTGGTACATAGGCACTAAAGGTTCGCAACCGCGGCGGATGCAAAAATTATAAAATAAATATATTTCTTTTCTCACCTCCACCATCCATTTTTATACAACATTTTTCATAGCCAAAATATACAGATTTCACAAAGAGGTTCCTGCGGAGTACCGTAGATGTTTAGGGTGCTAATACCTTCCATTTGCATAACCAACCCCCTTACCTTGAATCTTTCCCCTTCTTTTTGGGTTATTCGCTCTCTTCCCATTCCTTTGGAAATAATAAAAGCGTGGTGGAAATTTTTATTTTGATTTGTATAAAGTCTAGTCAATCCAATGGCTTAGTCTTAAACATTTCTACCAATACAACTATAAATTGGCCATAGTTGAATTTTTCTCCAATACAACTGATTTTTAGGTCAACTACTCAATTGACTGAGCAAAAATGTGATCCAAGGATTGAAACTTGACATGAGCAATCTTGGGGGTCCATAATATTTTAGTCATCAATGCTTAAGGTCTTGGACCCAAAGAGATCTTGTGAGAAAATTCTTGATAAGTGAGAGGGAAAATTTTGGGGTACAACACCTGGGTATCGAACCCATGTCCTTCCCAGTTTGCACACTTACTTTTTACCATCTGTGCTGTTTGTTCATCCGTTTATATAAATAAAATCATAACATTATATTAGTAAAGCAAGGCATATATATATATATATATATATATATATATATATATATATATATATATATATATATATATATATATATATATATATATATATATATATATATATATATATATATATATATATATATATATAATTCAAAATCAACACACGCGCGCTGCACAAGCCAATGGGAAAGAGACGCCTAGATTTTGAGATTCGAAGGAATCAGTTTCCAATGCCCAAATAATGGTAGGTCTTTATCCCGACATTAGGGCTCGCGTGTAAGGATTATAACATGTCTAACACTTCATCATAAACACACACAAACACATTAGAATGCACAGATATGCTTAGATCAAAAGATTGAATCTCAAAATTATACCTATGGCCGGTATGCTTCAATCTGCAGTTTTGGGCGGAGAACAACTTGCTTATAGGTTCAAATGCCTCCCTGGGAATCTCAGAAACACATAAATGGTCTTTGTTTGGACGGAGGGAGCTTGCAAAGCTGGTTTTGGATTTTGACAACTTATGAGATTTTTTAGAGTTTTGAGATGGTTTTCTGAGGCAGTGTGTCTGTGTTCCTTGATGGGCAGTGTATGTCTTGTATTTATAGGGGTGTGGTGGTGAACGAAAATGGCATGAATCAGCCATTAACCATGGCTTTGAAAGAAAAATTGAAAGATTTAAAAAGTTTCCATTTTGAGATATTTTCTACCATTTTGGACTTTGAGTGAACCTAGACAGATTTCATCCCATTAGGTGTTCGTTTCCACTTTTCACATCTTGATTCTTTCGAATGCTCCCAAGATTTGTTCTTTTCGATGGCTCTGAGTTCCAATTCGAATTGCTCAAGGCTTCATCGTCATGGCTTCTTCGATTGAGTCATCATCTGCATTGGTTGCTTGATCTGGAAAACTCTCATATCCAATCAGCCTAATCGAACTCAGTATCAAACGATTTAGCCGGACATGGTTTTGAACATAAACATGCTAAACATAATTAAGAACAACATGCTTGCCAATTATAAAACGGAAAAATAATAATAATAAAACGATAAATTAGAACCTATAAATGCGAGAAATAAAGAAACTTAAATTGAAATGAAACTGGAATTAACTTCTATTAATGACAGTAAAATTGTTGATCCAAGCGCACACAAAAGTCCTAGTACTAATGGTGTGATAGTTTCCTCAATGTGATAAACTACCACTTTTACAATGTAATTTCTGCCTAAAACTACGAACAGCGCTTCCGCACACAAATTTGGATCCCCCAAAAATAAGTAAGCTAGCCCTATATATAGAGTTACATGCTGAACAACTGTATTTGATCGTGTAAAAAAATGCTTGAGAAAATCTAGGGAAGTGGCCCAGACTGAGCCTGAAGCAATTACGGCAAAACTACACTTTACACTTGTGGCGAGGCCACAGGGCTGTGGTGGTCGCCACACACTCAAAGTTGCAAGATGACTGAACCTGTGGTGAGGGCCACAAGTCTGTGGCCAGGGAAACAAGTCCGCGACTAGGGCCAAAGCTTCATAAACTGCATTTTCTGCTCTTTTCTTCCTTTCTTCCAATCTTCCCAGTTTCTTCGCCATTTCTCATTCTTTTTTCGCATGTGGGCTCTGTGTTAGAATGTACCTGAAATAGAATAGCAATATATGCTTAACAATACATAAACAAGCAAAAAGCAATAGAAAAATTCATGTGAATCAAGTCGAATATACAATATAGTTTGACGTTATTAATTGACCATAATTAAAGCTTTCAAATTTTAGATTTCAGATGAGGAGATTAGTAGCTCGCCTATCAAAGATTTGAGATTTGAATATTCAACATAAGAATACAAGTTTCTTGTCGAAGTTCGTAGGAATCAAAAGTCGATTCCCACAAATAATGCCACTATTTCACGATGGAACTATAAATGCGAGTTGGATCAATGCGATCAGTCTTATGATTTAATGCACTAAGCTTTTCCGGTATGGAGACACTTAAGTGTACCTGTAAGGTTAACACTCCAATGCCCAAATCAGTAAGAGAATGAGAAATGGTGAATAATGGAGATAAATTTGAATTACTTGTAAAATGACATACTCCTTTATCTCTATATAGAAAAAGTGATTATATCTGCTTCGCGTGGAATGTGACATGTCATGTTGGAGATCGTTCAATTGATCTAGACGGTGTGTGATGAGTTAGAGTCTGAGATTATATATGCTCAAGAGAATGATGATCCTCTTTTCTTACGTATGATCCCAATAACATTCACTATCGGGCATCTCTTATTGTGATTTCTAGGAGGCCCTGAACATGTGCCATAGTCAAAAGCTTTACTTGATAGTTGAAACCAACCCACTGTCAGATAGGACTATCAACACCCATAAGTCGTTTGACTTATGAAGTTGTTATATTCTAAGCCACATTGTCAATTATAATTTTCAAAATGAATTGGCGATTTATTCACGTAAAGATTCACACTACCGACATGATAACAAATTATAGGATAAATGATTCATTCAAAAGAAAAGAAGAAAAAAATTTAAAACTAAAAGATTTATCCAAAAGAGAATGAATCTTAAAGGTTTACAAATATATAACCCTCTTTACTTAAATATTTTCTCTTTCATTTTTGTTTTGAGACAACCAAATGTCCAATAAAACAAACCAAATTACAACGACTCAATCCAAAATATCATCACAGAAAGTCAAGGAATAGGCGGAACCTCACTAAAAATGTTTCACATTTGATCTGAGTTACAAATCCATCACTTGTTGTGAGATATGATCGAACAACTCACCGTGACACAAATCGGATCCGACGAGGACGATTTTAATCGTCTACCATATTTAAGCACTGTCACACGCCAAAACACGTATGATCTCATTCTCACTCTTGCAAGTTACACCTATTGACTTCAATGATTTGATAATTAAAGCGTTGATCTTCTAAATTTACCACGCTTCACCGTATTAAATTTGTACCGTTGCGCTAGAAGGACTCACTCCCTCCACATCACAAATCTCTCGTTTAATAAACAGAACAATTTTCATAAAATATATTTAAAATCTATTTACATTTAATTTTTTAGATATATTTTATTTTATAAATAAGTATTTTATAAATAAATATGAAAATAGAAAACACCACCTAGGTTTGTTTAAAAGTGAAAATTTAAAGAGCGACGCAATATTATTAGTGATTTATTTATTTGGTGACTCACTTATATTTAACAAGCTCGATAGAGTGCGAAGAGGGGGGAAGTGTACAAAAAAAAATTAGCGGTATTCAATTCTTTACTATCTATCTGAGTCCGAAGAGCAAGAAAACCCCCCAAAGCGTAAAACCCTAGAAATTTCGAATTTCAATTTCAATCTCAAATTCTCAATTTCAGAGTTTGGGATTGAGAGACGAAGCTGCCATGGATTTCGACGAGTACGATTATCTGGAGAAGACAGTGGAGGAGGAGATAGATGAGAAAGATTCTTCTAAGAAGGGGAGGGAGAGTATCGACAGGACCGAACGGAGCTACAGAAAGCGCGATGAGATCGAAGATGGCGCCGAATTGAAGAGGAGTAAGAGGTCCAGCGGTGACGACGATGAGCATGTCTCCAGGAAGGATAGAGATCGGGACGATGACCGCGACAAGGAGCGTCGTAGGAGTGGCAGGGATAGGGATAGGGACAGAGACGGTGAGAGGAGTAGCAGAGACCGAGGCCGAGACAGGGAGAAGGATGTGGATAGGGAGAAAGATAGGAGAGACAAGGATAGAGAAAGGGAAAGGAGGGAGAGGGAGAAGGAGAAGGAAAAGGAGAGAGAAAGGTCCAGGAGGAGCAAGAGTCGTTCGGAGCGGGAAAGAGAGATAGAACGGGAGGAGAGGGAGAGGTCTCGGAGAAGCGTAAGTCGTTCTGAACGTGATAGAGAGAAGGAACGGGAGGAGAGAGACAGGTCCAGGAGGAGCAGAAGTCGCTCTGAGCGTGATAGCATCAGAGAACGAGATTTCGACATGAGAGATAGCCGGTAACACACTCTCCCTTAACTTAATCTTAATTCTTGTTTGTTAATTAATTCGATTCTTTATAAACTTTTTGCTATGATTTTGGGTAGTCATACCTTTGCAAGTGTTTTCTGCTTAGGTTTAGTTGTTAATTTGTGGTGAAAATTGTTAAATTTGATTACTAAATGAACAACTGTGTTGTTTATCAGTTATGCCATAACTAAAATTGACTGATTATTTGATGTGCACTCCTTTGGAATGAGTTTTATTGCTCTGCAACTTTACTTGGCTTAACCCTGTTCCTTTTGCTCCCCGGTTATTCAATTCTTTGATACAATTTTTGAAAAGCATATGGCATACCATTGAAAACTGTCACTACCCATTACATCCATCTATTTATCCATTTCTGGAAGAGCACAACCATACCACCAGGTGGGTTAGATGTAAAAAGACCACATCCCATTTTTATTTAACAATGCAATTATATTTTCACAAAACTATCCATACATAATCTACCCAAATAAACTAGTAAACAGTGATTTCATTTAATAGATAAAGATAAATTGATTCTATAAGTTCATTGGCTCTACTACCAACCATAAGTCCATAACTGATTTTAGGGTATATCCTTGTTAAATGGACACCATCCTAAATGTTTTGCTATATCATGATTAGTCAATGCTCAAGTTATCACACATAATCTGAGGAATCTGTATGGGAATGTGCAGTTCTGCAAACAATGATTGCAAACAGAGAATTTTCAGCAGCTGTATTTGCCAAAAAACTGTACTCTGCCTCAGTCATCAAGCGCACAACTTAGGTCTGCTTTCTAGACCACCAAGATTCCGGGTTTGGGCCAAAGTAAATGCAGGGTCCTGAAGTTGATTTCTGATCACCTGGGGCCAGGCTGCATCATAATAATATTTAAGAGGGACTGGCTGGCTCATGTCAGCTGTGTGTTTTTTGCAGCAGCAACCCGTGACTGATAGTCCCTTTCAGATGCCTCAGGGTGATCTTGAGTTTTTGACTGCCTTCCTATGATTCTCCAGTGGTAATGACATGAACTGGCATGATTTGTTCACTGCAAATTGATCTCAGGCTGGGTTTTATTGGCTTACTGCTAGGGCACCCACCATTTAACTGTAGAAAGTAGGACCATGCAAATAGTTGGCTCCAAGTCTGTATAATTTTTTATGTTATCATGGAAGGGGAGAAGATGCCCTTTGAATCAGTCATGTGAGTTCCATCCTAGAGATTCTTAATCTTGTTGCTGATGAAGTCCTTTAGTAACTATCCTGGCTGCATTAATTAATGGTCTCATCAGGGTTTCTTTATTTTTTAAAACCCACTTGTGGTCTGAAGGAGAGGAAATGGAGACCAGGTCTGATTTTGAAGCAACATGTCATATTCTTTCATGGCAGTAAACCAGTGAGGTTCTGCCAAAGTTGCTTAGCAGTGCTTGGTTCTGTGCGTTCCTTTAACAAAGTAGGCACCAGTCAGGGATGGGAAATGCCATTCTCTGCTCTAGTCTGCATGGCTGTGAGTGTCAATTTGAGTGTATAACAATAGATTCTGAAGCAATGAGTACAGTTAAAATTTTGAGACTTTTACCCTCTCAAAATTACTGTTGGGGGCTTAATATTAGCCAAGTAGGTTTAGTATGCTTGTTTGAAGTTGCTTTAGTTAGAAAATGAGAGGAAATCGAGAAAAAAAATGAGGAAGTTGGAAGAGAATTTGAGAGAATCTGGGCTATGATCCATGAATATGTTTTCATTACATTAGCTGACTGGACGGAAATGAATCATGTAGAGAGACACAACTCTCTTCAACATTTGTTGTTACTTAATTTTATCTAGATTTTAGTTAGTCTTACAAATCATTATTACTAACACTAGGTTAAAAACTATACATATATACAAATAAGCAACAAAATACTAAGTATGAACTATTACAATGTCATGAATTATACAATCTGAACTCTGAATATCATGTTCAAATTTGCTGAACTTTTCTATGCTTATAATGGCTGTATTTTAATTTGAACTGCAGGAGACTTAGGGAGAAGAAGGAAGCTGTGGAGCCTGAGGCAGATCCAGAGAGGGATCAAAGAACTGTTTTTGCCTATCAGGTAACTTGGTTGGCCCTGTTCTGTTTTTGTCTTGGATTATATGATCTGATATAGTTGGGTATTTGGTGTCCTTTTCTGATTATTGCCAATGTGTTGTGATGATTTCAGATGCCCTTAAAGGCAACAGAACGAGATGTTTATGAATTCTTCTCAAAAGCTGGCAAGGTCGGTATTTTCATAAATTTGTTATCTGTTTTTACTATTTAAAACTTGTGAGGTAATTAATGTTTTCATTGGAACTTTCTGCCGTCGAGTGTAAACCATATATTATTATTTTATGTTATTTCACATGGTATATGATTGTGTTAACACTGACACTTCTAAATGTCAGGTGTCCCACACATGCAGGTGTCCATCACCGACACATGATTACATTCAATTAGATCATTTCCTTAAATTATTAGCGGTGTCAGTGTCTGTCTTTGTGTCAGTGCTTCAAGATAGTCTCCTCCTGCACTAGTTTCAAGTTATCTAGTGACTGTATTGTGCTCAACATTCTGTATCAATGTGGGGAGTGCACTAGTGGTTATATTTGAATATTTCCAACTCCTGGAAGTAGTACTTTAAAGTTAAAATAAAAATAAGAGCATTAGAAATAAAGATAAGGTTGTTTGGTGATTTTTTAGCTCAAAATGTATTTGTTATATAGAACTTGAGTTAAATAATAAAAAATAGATAAAATATCAAAGGTTTTCTACCTGATTTGAATTCCTCTCAACTACTTTCTGAAAAGTTCTTTATATCTAGTTTTTATATATAAAAGATAAGTTCCTTTTTTAAATAAGACCTTTTTTAAAGATAATGTTTGGCCTAGCTTCTTTTAAGGAGAAAAGAAAAAAGAAGTCAAGCCAAAATAAGCTGTAGTTGTTTGGTTCCTTGGTGTGAATGTCTTGTATCTTGACTTACTTTGTTAAGTGATATTTACTTGGTTATTTTTTATTTCTGACGTACCTCGTTTCCAGGTGAGAGATGTTCGACTGATCATGGATAGGAACTCAAGACGATCTAAAGGAGTTGGGTATGCTTTTAATTGTAAAATATTTTATTCCACTCTTCATATGCGTGCACTATTGTGGTATTAGGATATCAAGTTTCAAGAATCATGTTTAACTGTACTCTTAAATGAACTAGCAATGCGATAATGATGAGGGATGATGGGAATACCTTGCACACATGTTTATTCAATTCATGCTGCGTACTCAAGGTAGATGACATGTTCCTGGTTTTATTTTGGTCCTTTCCCAATTTGTTTCCTCTATGTTGACATACACGCACAGTGAGGATTTCTTTCTTATGTTGTTGAGCCTTTTCAGTTTATATCACTTGAACTGATTATGAGGTATATTATCTTGATAAGTTTGAGGAGGAAGTTTTATCCTGCATTTCCTTTCTTCTTTTATTTCTCCTCTTTTTTGGGGTGGGAATAGCCAGTTGGTTATGATGCTCATGAACTTGGTTTGTTTGTCTCTTAGAATTGATTTGACTAGTGAGGCACAGTACTTCGTCAGCTTTAAGTTGGTTATGTTTCCTGAAAAATGAATTTTTCGTACACACACAAGTGAAGATGAATTGGTGGTTTCCTAATCCTCCCAATCTTGCTGGTTTAGTGCAGTCTTTCCTCTCTAATTTTGTCTTCTCTTATTATTTCTTGATTGAAATATATGTTTCAGTATGTGTTTTTTACCATCAGACTAACACTTTCTTTACATGAGTCAGATACATCAAAAGATACTCTCTGGTTGAGCTGTCTTCACTTGAGTTTTTGTTTCACTACACCTCTTTGCCATGCTTTGTAAGTTTTGATTGCAACTGTTTGTATATTGTAGTTCTGAAAAGTTGATGCAAGTATTTGATGAGGTTGCAGGTATATTGAATTTTATGATGCAATGTCGGTGCCGATGGCAATTGCTCTCTCTGGTCAACTTCTTCTTGGACAACCTGTAATGGTCAAACCTTCTGAGGCTGAAAAGAACCTAGTTCAATCTAATACTACTACTGGAGCTGCTGGTGTGGTCGGACCATATGGAGCCGTGGACAGAAAACTGTATGTGGGGAACCTTCATTTCAATATGACCGAGAGCCAGTTGAGAGAGGTATTTTTTGTCTTTCCTGTCCAGTGAATCTTGTCAGTGCCAGCCATTGCTAGGAATTTGAAATGACAGTGTTAAATGATTTTTTGAAAATATACCTGTCAAAACAACAAAGTAGTTTTCTTCTGAATTGATTTAGTCTGATGCCAGACTTTAACTAATAAGACTGTTCTGTTTGATAATTTGTCCCTGATCAACTTCTGACATTTTTTTTTAATTTTAGATTTTTGAGCCATTTGGTACTGTGGAGGTTGTGCAACTGCCTCTTGACCTGGAGACAGGACATTGCAAGGGTTTTGGATTTATTCAAGTTCGTTACTGACACTTCACTTTTTTTTTTTTGTTTCTGATAAAATACTGTTCCTTACCTTTTTCCCTTGTCAATCCCAATCCTTGGACAGTTTGCCCACCTAGAACATGCAAAGGCTGCCCAGAGTTTAAATGGAAAATTGGAAATTGCTGGCAGAACTATCAAGGTAGATTTGTTCACTTTGTTTATATACTTTTTCTGTGTGGGTCTGCTTGCCTGTTCTTATATTTGTATCTAATGCTGTTTATCAAACAGGTTTCATCTGTAGCAGACCATGTTGGAGGCCAAGATACAACAGCAAAATCTGCAGATTTTGATGATGATGAAGGCGGATTGGTAAGTCTACACATAAAACTAAATGAATAGTTTCCATAGGACAATGTGTCACTCTATCTCCTCATACAATAAATATACTTAGGTGTATGGTTATTTACTCAGCTTGTTAGGGTTGATTAACAAGTTTTGTTTATTTAACATTTTCATTATTATTTTAGTAACTGTAAATTCTAGCTTAATTGTTTGTATAGACTTGAGAAGTGTACTGAAGTTTTAGTTCTATTGAAGTTGACTATATTTTAGACTTAGTCAGAAACTGCAACTTTTGCACCATATCTTGGGCCAGGTGTTTGTATTTTAGAGCTGCTATGGTCTCTTTTCCTACTGGGGTTCTTTTATTTCAATTCTCTTCCCAGTTATGAGTTTCGTGCTCATTTATCGTGCTTTTTCTTACTTTTACACAAACAGGCTTTAAATGCCCAATCAAGAGCATTGCTTATGCAGAAGTTGGATCGCTCTGGAATTGCTGCAAGGTTCATCTAAATATTTTTTTATTCTTTAGATATGCGGTGCCCATTATCTTAACATATTCCAAAAACTGCAGCATTGGCTTACCCATTAATGGGTCAGTTCCCGCCCAGCAGGCTATTAGTTTGCCTATTGGTAATCCTGGATTAATGCCAGCACTAGCTCTACCAACTCAATTTATGCCTACTCAAATGGCTGAACCTGTCGGAACCCCCAGCAACTGCTTGCTGTTGAAGAATATGTTTGATCCATCAACTGAGGTTAGTTTTGACGGATTGCTTATGGATACTCTATAGTTTCATTTAACTGAATTATTACTAATATCCATTATTACAATCTGCAGACAGAACCAGATTTTGATCTAGACATCAAAGAAGATGTAGAAGAAGAGTGTTCTAAATATGGGCGGGTGAAGCATATCTATGTCGACAAGTAAGTTTGTAAATTAGTGTACTCATTCATACATGCGTACTCCATTATTTTTTTAATTTCCAATATCATTTTGTGCATAGCTGCGAGTTTATTTATTGATTCAGTTTGTATACAGAAATAGTGCAGGTTTTGTGTATTTGATGTTTGAAACAGTGGAAGCAGCAAGTGCTGCTCAGCGTGCAATGCACATGCGGTGGTTTGCGCGCAAAATGATTTCGGCCATATACATGGTAAGCATATGTCTCTTATCCCGCTCCACTTGCTTTTAACTTCAAACAAGAATTTTAATGATTTTTTTGTTGTTGCAGCAACCTCAGGTATATGAAGCCAAGTTTAAAGGGGTTGTGTGAAGAACTGCTTCCAGGCTTTTTGTGGCTCTTAAGGACGACATTCTGCTTATTTATTTTTCTCATACTAGTTTCAGAGACGGAGTTTAAGTTTATGATTTCAGATTGCTGACTTGTATCATTAAATGTATGATTACAGAAATTCAACTGTGGTGATAGTCATGATCAATAGTTGACTATTTTGTATCTTAATGTATTTTATCCACTTTTTTGGACTCTATTCTACTGGTGGCTACTATACTCACTCATGTTGTGGGAGTACTATTTTCTATATTTATTGAACAGCCAAGTTGTAAAATTTGCGATTGTAAAATGTAGTATAGAGATTTTGCCAGTTGTGCCTAATTTAAGCGACTTCAACAACAAAAAAAGAAAGAAAAGAAAGACGAAGGGTCGAGATAGTGGTAACTACTAAATGAACATGGTGTCAAATGTTCAGGGTTCAGTTCTGTTCAAACATGATCTAATTTAGATAGGTCTATGAATGCCTTAGTACGGTGAGTAGCTTCATAAATACTGATCCAGAAGGGATTGTCAAGACTTACGAGTTTTAAGTCGAGCAGTAATTGAATGTAAAGTGGAGGGGGAGGGGGTACATGCAAGACACTTTGATGTCAAAGGTTCAGAGTAAGTGCAAACAAGTATGAGAGTAAGAGAATGAATGAATATCCGATCCTCTCAAGTGAGGATATTTATATCTCTCAGCGCTGGGCCAAAGTTCTCATTGCTAGGTTGAGTAAGTAGATCCAAAATAGAGACTATCAGGTCCTACGTGTGTAGTGGGGGCCAGCACGTGGTCCTCAACCTCAATGGACTCCTCCGAATAATTAGGAGGATATGGATGCAGTTTTTTCAGAGTCAAGAGGACTTCGTGACATTTAGAGGTATTGGGTGTCAGTCCTACGAGGAGGATGCTCGCGAGGTCTTTCTGACCGTCGTTGGTCCTCCTCGTCACTCGTGAGGTTGTCTCCGGAGGATATATTCTGGTTGACGACAGGAGAAAAAGATGTACGCGAGGAATTCCTGAGCGTCATTGGTCACCCTTCATATGCTTTCAAGTGTCTTTTTATCTCGAACAAAGAAATATCACAATTGGTAAAGAGATAAGATTTGCAAAGATAAGGTCACATGTTCGAATTTGAAATATTACACTTTTAACTTTTTTTTATTTGTTACTAATTTCATTTCCATTTTAAATTATATTCAAAATAAAAAAAAAACTCCAAAAAAACATGTCTTTAGTTTTAGATAAAATCGATTAGACCTTGTACATAATTCAAACATTTTTCTTAATCAAATTAAATTAAATATTTTCGCAAATAATAGAATATACATCCTCGAACAATCGATTGGCCGGTTTAATGTCTCACCAATTAAGTATTCAAATCAAAACAATTAAAATTTATTCGAACTTTGGTTTTGCTCAATGCAATAATCAATATTAACTCGCTCGACTCGATAAACAAATCAAATCAATTACTTCGCCTAACACAATCAAATTCCAATAAGGATAAACTCCTTATCGACCAAAATCAATTACTTCACTCAATACAATTTAATTCAAATAAAGATAAACTCTTTATCAATTAACCAAACATCCTACGGACTACAAAATTGGACTCTGATTCTTCGCAGGAGGATACGTTGGCACACGGTTAAAACCAAGGCGAGTCCCTTAACTAAAAAATTAAATCTCTTCTTATACACTAACAAAAAATTCCCATTAAGCTATGAAATCTAAAATAGGATGCCCCTTTAAAACAAGACAAATGAAGGGTATTTAACACCTTTCTTTCGTCTAACCAACTCATAAATTTAGAATATCTAAACAATTAGGGTTATTCGTTCTTCCCCGTCCTTAGAACAAAAAGTAGTGGTGGAGACTCGTATTTTTTGCCGGTTACGACAGTTGGCAACTCTGCTTGGAAGATAACCCTAGGGTTAAAGTTTCTTTTCTTTTAGGTCTAGGGTTTTCTTGGGGTTCTTTCTATTTTGGACATGTTTCTCTTTTCATATCTACTTATTTGTTCATCTGTCTGTTTATTTATTTTATTCATATTATTCATGCTGTTGGTGAGATTTAATTTCAAATAAAAGATTAAACCTTAGAAGAAGGATTTTCAATTGGGCAACGGGGTTTAACATCTCCATGAGTTTTTGCGATGACTTCACCTAGAGTAGGTCGAATTCCTAGAAATATCTTTTAGAGGGCTAGACTCTCTTGGAGGTAGGACTTTGGGACTTGACCAATGACTCTTCGTATAATCCTAAAATAAAATCTCACGGTGAGACATCGTACGACCTAAGAGACGAAAGTATCGGTTCACAAAGAGACTCCACCTAAAGGAGACCCTTGTGTCTTTTCCCTTTGGTGTTATCTATGACACCCTTAAGGAAGCAATCCTTATGGGGAAGGTAGAATATTCGTAGGAAGAAACTAAGAACCTACATACTAAGGACACCTCTTATTATCCCACCACCAAATTGCATCACCATGCATCACATACATTTTGCATTTAAAAATATTCATTATTTTTGCATTTTTCGTGTACCTTATTCATAGGATTTCCTTGAAAAATAATAAAAATAAAAAAGATTTTTGGTGAGCATCTCAAAATGAATACTAATAACAAACAGATCATTCACATCAGTGCCACAATGCCAGATATGAAGAAGATCAAACTGATTAGGGGGAAACTAATAGAGAAAGCTATGAAGATGTTTGTTCGATGCTATGAAGATATCATTGAGCTTACAAAGGTGATCATACATGTGGAAGCAATCACTACTCTTGCCCAGTTCTATGACCCTTCGCTAAGGTGTTTCACTTTCCAGAATTTTCAGTTGGCATCTACTTTGGAGGAATTTGACAGGATTTTGGGATTCTCCAGAATTAAAGATGCGGCTTACATAGGAATTGGAATTACTATCAAAGTCCGAGACTTGGATAAGGAGTTAGGGACACCATTCACTGACCTGTTACTCAACTATAAGAAAGATGGAAAAGTGTAAGGTATCAAGAGGTAGTACTTAGAATCCAAGGATCTTTATTTTTCCTATAAGAAATAATGGTAATCTTGTGTGGATTGTTTAGCACTAATTATTTTTGGTTTAGTTTTGTTTCCAAATACTATGGATTATATTGATTCGGCAACCATTAATGTATTTTGGACTGTGAATGTATTGAATGCTGATCCTACTCCTACTTTGCTTGCTGATGATTATTACTCTTTTCATACTCGTTATAAAAAAGGGAGAGGTGTCCTACATTGTTGCATTACTCTTCCATATTCTTGGCTCATTACTCATCTCTACAAGGAGGACTATATGGTTAAATATCTGAACAAGAATGAATGGTCCCAAAAATTGAGGGCTCTTAGTGCTAATTCAGTCTTGTGGTATGCTAGGAAGTTGAACATATGAGAGATTATCTATAATTGTGAAAAATTTCCAAATGTTCCCCTAATTGGAACAAAAGGATGTATCAACTATAACCTCACTTTGGCTTTACGTCAACTTGGGTACCCTTTGGAAGATAAACCTTCCAACGAGTAAATTCAACCATTGGTTCTATATGATATGGGTAAAAACGACCCCATTACTTGCAAAGATCGTCCAAGCTTGGAGTAGAGTCCACAAGAAAGGTGCTAAATTTGGAAGGAAGAATGTCGTAGCAAAGGAACCTTATACTCAATGGGTTTTGGAGAGAGTCCAAATCAATAAGCTACCATTTAATGTTGATCCTACATACACACCAGATGCGCTAGACCCTCTTCCGATGTCTATGGAGGAAATAGAGGAATTAAAAAATTCCTCCGAGCAAGCTCAAAAAGAAAAGGAAGACTTGGAGCATAACCTCTATGACCTTGCTTACGAGAATAATAAGTTTCAACGAGAGCTTAATTTGAAAGATCAACCGATTTAAAACAATTGTAAATTGGTTGAGAAAGAAAGGTCTAAATGAAAGCACACGACTGAGGGGTTTCTAAGTGCTACTTTCAATCTTGATTCCCACAATCAACGGTTGGATGATGACGCAAGAGAAATTACCAGACTGAAGAAATGGTATGATAAAGCGTTACAAGAAAAAAGAGAGTTGGAAGAGGTTATGAGAATCCAAATTCAAGGATTACAAGAAGGTACTCAAGATCAAGAAGAACATATTCAAATCCTTCTCACAAGTCTCAGAAAGCTAAGAAGCAGAGGTGAGAGAACACCTTAGAAAAATGAGAGCAGAAGAACTTCTCTCTCAAAAGGTGGAGGAGTATGAACAAGTCTGTCAAGAGTTGAAAGGCCTCCGAAAATATTTCCTTATACAAAGGTGTTGTACCCCAAAAATTTTCGTCCCATTTTTCTTCAAGACATGCTCACAAAGGGTTCTAAAATGCTCAAGGATTCTCAAGAGTTGACCAGTCAAACCTCCTCCTAAGCAAAGAGTCCACAACTAGGGTTTCATCTTGCACAAGGAAGAATGGGTTTTAAAGGTCTCAAATGATTTTCATGGTTAATCATAGGTCTTCAACAATGTTCATGTCAAGTTTCAAGTGTTGCGCCACAAGTCTGCTCAGTCAATGGCTCAGATAATTGAAATTAACTATATTGAGTAAAAAGTCAACTATGGTAAACATACAGTCAAACTTCAAGATTTTCGGTCAACATCAACATTTTGAAGTGATATTCATCATTTAGTCAAGGCTTGATCATGATTCCTCAAGGAAAGCCCTCAAATCATCAAAAGTCCAAAGTTGCCAAATTAGGGTTTCCTTAGGAGAAGTCAACTAAACTTTGACCAAGTATAACTTTCACATTTTGAAGGTTATTCAATTCTCTATAACTTTGTATTTATTCTCAAGTTCAAAAAGTGCTTCATTTGAAAGATATGAGCTAATACATTACAAGTCATTTCAAAAGTCAACAACAAGACACTTTTTGTCAAGGCAACTTACATCAAGATAAAGTCTCCAAATGCAAAAATGACCAAAAGAGAAATTGTACAGAACATC